ACGAACAGGTAAACAGTTGGAGGATGGACGAACGCTCTCCGACTATAACATTCAGAAGGAGTCGACCCTTCATCTTGTACTGAGGTGAGATTTGCTCCTTTATCGCTCGAAATGCCCTCGTTGCTTTGCTTTGCGGTGATGATGAGAACCTTTGGTGCACTGATGTGATGAAAGAAACATAGTTCTCTGAACCTGCAAGCCATTTTTCTGAATAAAAATTCGCAACAGTTTGCCCTTACTCGCTCTAATTTTTTCTTTTTTCCAATCCCAGATTGCGTGGTGGCGGCAAGAAGAGAAAGAAGAAGGTGTACACCACGCCCAAGAAGACAAAGCACAAGCGAAAGAAGGTGAAGTTGGCCGTGCTCAAATATTACAAGGTAAATCTTGACCAATTTATTCTGCGAAAGAAGCATTTGTTGGTACCAAAATAAGGGTGTAATAAACCCAGTAACTAAGGGCAATTATAGTAATAATAGTGGAAGAAAATCGAAGAATCCAAAGATGTAGCAATAGTATCAATTGCCTAAAAGTTTACTGGAAATAGTGAAAAATACAAAGATAGCATTAAGAAAAAATGAAAGAAAAATCTGTTTTTGATCAGTAAATTCTACTCCAAATAATGCACAGTCATTTGGGATTATTATCCCACTGCATTTTTTCACGTTTCACATTTTAGGTTGATGAAAATGGTAAGATTTCTCGTCTGCGCAAAGAGTGCTCATCGCCGACCTGTGGTGGAGGTGTTTTCATGGCCAGTCATCAGAATCGATATTACTGTGGCAAGTGTTATCAGACATTGGTGATGCAGGATCCGAAGGAAAAAATCGCGGGAAAGAGCAAATGATCATTTTTGATCTGTTTTGTTGTTTACGCTGTTGCTTACGCGGAGTTCCGTGATAAACTTGATAATTCGTAGCTTGTTGATCCTCACAATCTAAACGCTTTTATTCTCTAAACATTCGCATCGACAAGCACATGCCATTCGTGCGCATTCCCATTGCCGGCGCCTTCATACTTCTTAGTTTTCGCACTTTTTATGTATTCACATCGGCACGATGGATTTGACAGCTTGTTTATATGCATTGGGTACGGCAATCTTTGGTCTTCAGCCCATTCCTTTATCACAAATTACTGTCATAGCAAGCACATTTCGGCAAAATACTTCAAAAATATAACTGTAGTTCTTAGGGGGTTAGGACTATTCTGTTGAAAATTGGTCCCCAGTTCGCTATAATATGGAACATCACTATGTTTGGCTTTGACAGGCTGCGTCCCACTCCTGGAAGGAGTTTTGCTTTTGCATATGCGTCAGGTGAAACGATATGGTTCAGTTTCCGTTGCGTATTTTGGTACGGTCCGTAATGGCAGTTTCCACCTTACAGCATTGTGATTCGACATGCATATTCCGCGCTTTTACGCGTTTTTATTTTGCATCTGTGCAGTGCAAAAACACATTGTCTAGCAGAGTTATCTCTCTGTGTGTGTCTGTTTGTATATTTATGTCTGTGTGTGCATTTTTAACGATTTTTCACCTCGAGATCC